CTGGTCTCAAACGTCTGACCTCAGGTGATCTGCCTGCCTTGGCCTCCCAAAGTGCTTGGATTACAGGCACGAGCCACCGCGCTGGTCTTGTTTTTTTTTTTCTTAATTTCATCGATGTGGGAAACAGGCAGATGTTATGCTCGAGAGACTGAAAAATACACTTTTTTTTTGAGATGGGGCCTCGTTGCACTGCCCAAGCTGGAGGGCAGTGGTGCGATCTCGCTGACTGCAGCCTCAATTTCCCACACTCAAGCGATCCTTCAAGTTCAGTCTCTGGAGTAGCTGGTACTCTGGGCATGCCCCACCACATCCAGCTAATGTTTAAAAATGTTTTGTAGAGATAGGGTCTTGCTATGTTGCCCAGGCTGGTCTAGAACTCCTAGCCTCAAGCGATTTACCCACCTCTGCCTCCCAAAGTGCTGGGATTAGGCCGGGCACAGTAGCTCACACCTGTAATCCCAGCACTTTGGGAGGTTGAGATGGGGGGAGTCACTTGAGGTCAGGAGTTCGAGACCAGCCTGGGCAACATGGTGAAACCCCGTCTCTACTAAAAATGCAAGCTGATTTTTGTATTTTTAGTAGAGATGGGATTTTGCCATATTGGCCATGCTAATCTTGAACTCCTGGCCTCAAGTGATCCACTGGCCTTAGCCCTCCAAAGTGCTGGGATTACAAGCATGAGCTACCATGCCCGGCCTAATTCACTATTTTAAAGTGTACAATTCAGTGTAATCACAATCTTGTGCAATCACCTAGGCAGGTGTGGTGACAGGCACCTATAGTCCCAGCTACATGGGAGGCTGAGACAGGAGAATCACCTGAACCCAGGAGGTGGAGGCTGCAGTGAGCTAAGATCATGACATTACACTCTAGTCTGGGTGACAGAGGAAGACCCTATCTTAAAACAAACAAACAAAGCAAAACTAGCCGGGCACAGTGGCTCATGCCTGTAATCCCAGTACTTTAGGAGGCTGAGGTGGATGGATTATGAGGTCAGGAGTTCGAGACCAGCCTGGCCAACATGGCAAAACCCCCGTCTCTACTAAAAAATACAAAAATTAGCCGGGTGTGGTGGTGCGTGCCTGTAATCCCAGCTACTCGGGAGGCCAAGGGAGAGAACTGCTTGAACCCAGGAGGCGGAGGCTGCGGTGAGCCAAGATGGCATCACTGCACTACTCCAGCCTGGGTGACAGAGTGAGACTCTCAAAAAAAAAAAAAAAAAAACAAAACAAAACAACAATAGAAAACCTCATACAAACCACACATGAAGCGCTAGGATTGCAGGTGCGAGCCAGGGTGCCCGACCTTGAAAAAGACACTTTACAATCAGGGCGTTTGAGCGAAGGTGTGAATGAAGGCAGGTTGGGTTTCCGCCTGGGAATAAGGGTTGTCCACTGAAAGCAAACCTCTCCGCTGGACCGGATATGACATTTGCGTGTCTGTAGATAAGACCTGCTTTGTATTGCTAGCAGTGCTCACAACTCAGAGTTGTGAAGTAGTTCAAAGACAGTGATAGGAATCAGGTGTTCAGGAAGGGTGTGTTGCTCATAGCTAAGGCGCTGAATGAACCATTGAATACGCGCAGCTCATTCATGAAACACAAGGTTTTCCTTGTAGAAAGAAGGAACCACTCTTTCATTCAATAAACACCTGCTCTTCGAGTGCCTATTGAGACACAGCCCTGAACAGACACTGGACCCTTGAGAAGCAAAGCGGAAACAGAGGAGGCCGGGTGCGGTGGCTCACGCCTGTAATCCCAGCACTTTGGGAGGCTGAGGCGGGTGATCACCTGAGGTCAGGAGTTGGAGACCAGCCTGGCCAACAAGGCGAAGGCTGGTGTCTACTAAAAATACAAATATTAGCTGGGTGTCATGGCGATCACCTGTAATACCAGCTACTCGGGAGGCTGAGGCAGGAGAATTGCTTGAACCCAGGAGGCGGAGGTTGCAGCGAGTCGAGATTGTGTCCAACCTGGGCAAGAGTGAAACTCTGTTTTGTTTTGTTTTTTTTTTTTAAAAAAAGGCCAGGCAAGGTGGTTCAGGCCTGTAATGGCAGCACTTTGGGAGGCCGAGGCGGGCGAACCATGAGGTCAGGAGTTCAAGACCAGCCTGGCCAACATGGTGAAACCCCATCTCTACTAAAAATACAAAAATTAACTGGACATGGTGGTGCGTGCCTGTAATCTCAGCTATTTTGGAGGCTGCGGCAGGAGAATTGCTTAAACTGGGACAGGGAGGTGGAGGTTGCAGTGAGCTGAGATGGTGCCACTGCGCTTCAGCCCGGGTGACAGAGTGAGACTCCATCAAAAACATCCAAAAACAACAAAACAAAACCAAGGGCAGAAGGCAATTACTGCCTGAGATGGGCAGATGGCCGCAGAAGCTGGGGAATGGCCATGAAGGGAAGAGCTACCCTTAGCCCTCAGTCTGGAGTCTGGGCCTCATTCATCCTCCAGCCCCAGCAACCATGAGGGTGGGACCTTCCTGGCAGCTTGGGAAACGCCAGACTACTGTCTTTCCATCCGATGTGGCTTCCACTGCCCCAGTTCCTGATTTTTCAAGATGCTAAGGACTTTGTGAAATTTCTCTCGGCGTGTTTGGGAGGGGTGGGGATGGTGGTAAAAATCACAATTTTATTACTATTTTTTGAGACGGAGTCTCGTTTTGTTGCCCAGGCTGGAGTGTAGTGGCACCGTCTTGGGTCACTGCAATCTCCACCTTGGGGTTCAAGTGATTCTCCTGCCTTAGGCTCCTGAGTAGCTGGGATTACAAGCGCCCAGGACCACAGCCGGCTGATTTTTAGTAGAGATGGGATTTTGCCATATTGGCCATGCTGGTCTTGAACTCCTTGCCTCAAGTGATCCATGGGCCTTGGCCCCCCAAAGTGCTAGGATTATAGGCATGAGCCACCATGCCTGGCCTAATTCACCATTTTAACATGTACAATTCAGTATAATCACAATGTTGTCCAATCAGTTCTAACATTTTCATCCCCCCCACCCCACAAAGAAACCCCGTTCCTATGAGCACTCACTCCCCATTCCCGCTCCCTCATCTGCTCTCCCCCCGTGGTTTGCCTCTGTTTGGGACATTTCACGTAAGTGGGATGACTCAAGATGTAGCCTTTTGTGTGGCTTCGTTCACAGTTTATTATTTTGTAGTTTCAGTCCCATTTTTGGACCAGGGTGTTGTGGTCAGTGAGCTGAAGGCACAAGTGCCGTGTTCCAGCCTCTTTAAAATTTTGTTTTGGCCGGGCGCGGTGGCTAACGCTTGCAGTCCCAGCACTTGGGAGGCTGAGGTGGCGGATCACTTGATATCGGGAGTTCGGGACCAGTCTGGCCAATATGGTGAAACCCTATCTGTGCTAAAAGTACAAAAGAGTTGGCCGGGTGCAGTGGCTCACGCCTGTAATCCCAGCACTTTGGGAGGCCGAGGCGGGTGGATCACGAGGTCAAGAGATCAAGACCATCTTGGTCAACAGGGTGAAACCCCATCTCTACTAAAAATACAAAAAAATTAGCTGGACACGGTGGCGCGTGCCTGTAATCCCAGCTGCTCAGGAGGCTGAGGCAGGAGAATTACCTGAACCCAGGAGGCGGAGGTTGGTGGTGAGCCAAGATCGCGCCATTGCACTCCAGCCTGGGTAACAAGAGCGAAACTCCTTCTCAAATAAAATAAAATAGAACAACACAAAAATTACCTGGGCGTGGTGCTGCATGCCTATAATACTAGCTATTTGGGAGGCTGAGGTGGGAAGATTGCTCGGGAGGCAGAGGTTGCAGGTTGCAGTGAGCCAAGATCGTGCCACTGCACTCCGGTCTGGGCTACAGAGCAAGACTATCTTTAAAAAAAAATTGGCAGTCTTGACTGTCACTGTAGAACCCAGAAAACACTTGGGATGGGGTTTGGGGGCAGCTGCTGGTGACCCAGCACCTCTGTCTCCTTGGTAGCTGAGGTGGCCACGAAGAGGATGGGCCTCTAAGGAACCAGTCGCCCCACCCCGTGTCACGGTAGAAGCCAAGTATGTACAACTCCCCAAAGACAGCAATTCAGTATCACCCTGACTGGAGCCCATCTGTTCCCTGTGCTGTGACCTTGACCTGGGCCCAGTGAAGGAAGAAAAGGAAAGTCATCAGGCCAGAGATCCCAGAATATTCCACAGGCGCTGTCTGGCCTAGCTGACCCAATTTGCAGGTGGGGGAACCCCAGGATGGACAGAAGTGAATTCTGGTCTTGTGACAGTGACAGGTAGCGGAAGGCCAGCTGAGAGCACGGATCGGGACTCTGGCAGCTACCGGCTCAGCTCCACTCTGGAATGTTATGCAGGACTGAATGGGGCACCCTGCTAGATGACATGTATAAAGCACTGGAACTGGTGGCTCACACCTGTAATCCCAGCACTCTGGGAGGCCGAGGCAGGAGGATTGCAGGAGCCCAGGAGTTTGAGACCAGCTGGGGTAACATAGCAAGACCCCATCTCTACAAAAAGTAATAAACAGCTGGGCATGGTGGTGCATGCCTGTAGTTCCAACCACTCGGGAGACTGAGGTGGGAGGATGGCTTGAGCCTAGGAGATGGAGGCTGCAGTGAGCTATGATCGTGCCACTGCATTCCAGTCTGGGCGACAGTGTAGCCTGCCTCATAGGCAGCGCTACCTAAACATTGGCTGTCTTGAGTCCCTTACAGTTGGCACTCTTTATCCAGGTCATACCACGTGGTTTCCAAATGCATTCTGACCTACTCATGTCCAGCTTGACCCTGGTTGTGTCCCCAGGGCTGAGGACTGACCAGGAGGAATGAGAGAGACACCAGGGATTAAATGAGAAAAGACTCTTTCCCGGGTCTCAGGCTCATGGCTAGAGGCGCAGAAAGAAGCCCAGCTGTCCTCTGGGCATAGCGCTGCTAAAGGTGGTGGGGTGGGGTGGGGCCGGCCAGGCCATGTGGCTCATGGAGACTTGTGGGCTCACTGTCCTGCTCACCGGAACACAGAACTGCAAGAGATACGACAAAGTCAGGTTTATTGCTCTGGGTTAAACCTGTGGAGGCAGGACCTGGGAAGGGGCATGGGGACAGTTCTCAGTATGCTAAGACCTGCTGATCACCTGCCCATGGGCCAGGTCCCCACTGAAGTTCTAGGTGAGGCCCAGAGCTGGGGGACAGGGTCCTCTTCCTGAGACTGCAGCTTGTGGGATCAATGTCCCATCGTGGAGGTGGGGGTAGGGTGTTGGCCTGCGCTGGGCCAGCGTCCTCAGGAAGGTGCCTTGTTGGAGGAGGTGGTAGCAGCTGCCCTGTTCTTGGCCGGAGCCTTCAGCAGTGCCAGCTTCTTGGGCAGGCAGCTGGCTTTCATCATCACATCATGTTCGATCTTCTTCCGGATCCCAACTTCTAGGTTCTGAGGGACAAGCACAGGGCAGTAAGACTGTGGCCTGGGGTGGAGAGAGGGCCTGACTGGTCAACCTCTTCCCATCCAGAGCTCACAGGAAGCTAGATCAGCACTGTCCCCTCAAACCGCACCTGAATGTGAGCCTCGCGGGTGGGGTTTAAGTCCTGCACTCTCCAGGCCTCCACACACACAAAAAATCCAAACCTCCACACCTTAGCTTTTAAACCTCTGCTCATGTCCCTTTTACAGATGGGGAAACAGGCTGCTGGAGCCAGGAGGCACTGAATGCCCAGGTCCCTACATCACATGGTACCCAGCGTGCCACAGTCTCTCGGTGGACAGCCTCCTCTGCCCCAGGTCATCTCTGCTTTGCAGACAGCAAGCTGAGGATCCGATGGATGAGCAAGGAAGCTGGCAAGGAAGGCACAGGTGTGGGGCAAAACTAGCAGTGTAAGTCCCAAACTGGTGGCTCAGTAGCCTCCTCCAGACTGCCCCTGCCCTGCAGCTATGAGTTCCAATGGGTTGGGTGTTGTGGCTCAAGCCTGTAATCCCAGCACTTTGGGAGGCTGAGGCAGGAGGATCGTTTGAGGCCAGGAGTTCATGACCAGTACTGGCAGCGCAGTGAAACCTGTCTCTACCAAAAACTAAAATTAGCCGGGTACTGGCACTCACCTGCAATCCTACCTACTCAGGAGGCTGAGACGGAAGGATTGCTTGAATCCAGGAGGCTGAGGCTGCAGTGAGCTATAATGGGGCCACTGCACTCCAGCTTGGGCAACAGTTAGACCCTGACTTTAAAAAAAAAACAAAAAACCGATAACCAACGCACCTGACACTTCTTTGAGCCCTCTGCCGTTCTCAGAGGCTTACAAAGCTGTGCTTTCAATTCCCTTCCCATATCACCTCGCTCCCTTCCTGAGTTCTATTAAAGATAAGAGCAGCTGACGTTATTTGAACACGTTTTGCGCCGCAGGTCTTGCTTCTACGAGGCTCTGCTAAAATGGTAAGTGGTGTTCCTGTACCCCTTGCACAAAAAAGAAATGGGAGGCTCACAGAGCTGGGAGTCCTCCAGGCTTCATCCCTTGCCCTTTGCCGAACCCTGTGCTCCTTCCCTGAAGGCTCCTTCCCTCGCCGGCTTCCAGGCTTCCTTGAACTCGTCCCTAGCACGTCCCCCAGCCTCTATCCCTCGTCAGCCTCCACCTATTGCCTCTCTCTGCGCCCCGGGCTCCATCCCTCGCTCCTAGCTGGTCCCCGGGATCCATCCTCTGCCCTCGCCGACCCCCGGGGTCCACCCCTCGCCCCTAGCCATCCTCCAGGCTCCACCCCTCGCTACTGCCGCCCTCCGGGCTCCATCTTTCGCCCCGGCACACCTTCTTGAGCTTCTGCTGCTGCACGACGCGCGCCTTCTTGGGAGCGATAACACGACCTGGGGAAAGATGCGCTCGCGTGAAGTCGGGAAGCCCCGGGTCCACCTCACCCCCAAGTTCCCGGGCCACTCCTCACCGCCTTTCCTCGGGCCCCGATTCTTTTCAGAGGCCGCCGCTGCCGTCTTGCTCTTTGCTGGCTTGTGAGCCTGGAACTTGCGCTGTCCCTGCGCCATGTTCCCGCAAGCAGCGGAAGAGGCCGGGCTGTGAGCGGTCGTGGCCGGAAGGCACAGGGCACTATGGGATACAGCGGGGCGGAAAAACGCAAGACCTCACGGGATACAATGTGGCACAGATTTAAAGAGACAGGAACCCAAAAGGGTAAAGGATCACAGCCGGAGTTTTGCAGATATTGTGAAAAAAAGGTGACCATGATAAGCTAACGTTTATTGAGTGCTTATGTGTTTTAGAAAACTTACAACGTTTTATGCTTTTTACACATAAAAACTCAGATTAGGTTTAGGGGTGCAGCACTTACCTCTAGTGTAGAATTTTTAAAAGTCCGAAAACTTCGGTAATCAATAACAGTATTTCCAAGACTTAAAAAATATTTTCATATCCAAGACAATCAAATTGTCAACCTGCATCCTGCAGACCAGCAGCAGAATTTTATAAATAAAGTTTCAGTGGAACCAGGGTGTTGTGGTCAGTGCGCTGAAGGCACAAGTGCTGTGTTGTAGTCTCTTTAAAATTCTGTTTTGGCCGGGCGCGGTGGCTAACGCTTGCAGTCCCAGCACTTGGGAGGTTGAGGTGGCGGATCACTTGATATCGGGAGTTCGGGACCAGTCTGGCCAATATGGTGAAACCCTATCTGTGCTAAAAGTACAAAAGAGTTAGCCGGGTGCGGTGGCTCACGCCTGTAATCCCAGCACTTTGGGAGGCCGAGGCAGGCGGATCACCTAAGGTCAGGAGTTCGAGACCAGCCTCACATCGTGAAACCCTGTACTAGAAGTACAAAAATTAGCTGGGCGTAGTGGCGGGTGCCTGTAATCCCAGCTACTTGGGAGGCTGAAGCAGGAGAGTCGCTTGAACCTGGGAGGCGGAGATTGCAGTGAGCCGAAATCATGTCACTGCACTCCAGCCTGGGCGACACAGGGAGGCCCTGTTTCAAAAAAAAAAAAATTGTTTTGTTTCGTTCTTCATCGATTTTTTAATTTTTAATGATGGGGTCTCACTCTGTTGTCCAGGCTGAAATGCAGTAGTGAAATCACAGCACCTTGTATCCTTGAACTCTTGGGCTCAAGCCATCCTCCCACCTCAGCCTGGGTAGCTGGGGCTAGAGGTATGACCCACCATGCTCAGATAATTTTTTTTTTTTTTTTGAGATGGAGTCTCACTTGGTCACCCAGGCTGGAGTACAGTGACACCACCTCAGCTCACTGCAACCTCTACCCTCCAGGTCAAGCAATTCTCTTGCCTCAGCTGAGTAGCTGGGGTTACAGGCATCCGCCACCATGCATGGCTAACTTTGTATTTTTTTTTTTTTTTTACCAGAGATGGGGTTTCTCCATGTTGGTCAGGCTGGTCTCGAACTCCCGACCTTAGGTGATCTGCCTGGCTTAGCCTCCCAAAGTACTGGGATTACAGGCATAAGCCACCATGCCTGGCTGCCTGCTGAGCTTTTTTACTGTTCTCTTAAAATTCTGCCCTGGCAGTGTCACCCTAGCTCCAGCCCTGACCTTAAGAGGGAGGTACAAGTGTTAGCCACGCTTTATAAATGAGGAAACCAAGGCACAGAGAGTTGACGTGAGTTGTCTAAGATCACACAGTGGAAAAAGTGGCAGAGTTAGGATTTGAACCTGGGTGGCCTTCCTCTAGATGCTGGGATGTAGATGGAAGGTCCTGTCTGATCTCCCTGCACTAGGAACAAGTGTGGTCAGGGGTGGAAAGGTCAGCTTTTGGGCAGCCATTCAAGAAATTTATTAAAAATCCTAGAGAGGCAGGCTAGGGAGGGCTGAGTTGGTTACATCTGGGGTCCCATCCCTGGAAGAGATGGGTAGGACTGCCCGGAGCTCCTCAGGGGCAAATACCCCTAGTTCTGTGATGATGCCGCCAGTGATGAGGTCGTGGGGGGTGACATCGAAGGCAGGATTCCAAACTCCAATCCCTGCAGGGGAGAGAGAGGAGGCAAGGAGGCAGGAATTTGCTTCCATGAGAGTTCTCAGGTTGTGGTCACCTGTTTCTACCACCGTGGTTCTTGGAACTGGGGACTCCTGGAGCACCTGGAATCTCACCCCTAATGTACATGCAGGCAGGGACACTGTACCCAATAGTGAGTTTAGACTCCCAGCTGCTACTGGGTCCTATGCACATCTGTCCCACTTATTATCGATTGATTCATTGATTTACTTAAGATGGAGTCTCACTCTGTCGCCCAGGCTGGAGTGTAGTGGTGTGATCTCGGCTCACTGCCTTCCCAGTTCAAGCAATTCTCCTGCCTCAGCCTCCCAAGCAGCTGGGATTACAGGTGTGTGCCAACACACCTGACTAATTTTTGTATTTTTAGTAGAGACAGGGTTTCACCATGTTGGCCAGGATGGTCTCAATCTCTTGACCTTGTGATCCACCCACCGTGGCCTCCCAAAGTGCTGGGATTACAGGTGTGAGCCACTGCGCCCAGCAGGGGGTGTCCCTTTCTGAGGGGGCAGTTTACCGGGTGCCGCAATCCGGACCCCATTAACGTCAGTCAGCTCCTGGCCCGGACGCTCTTCAATGATGATCTCCTTGCCGGTCTCCAGATGGAGGTCACAGGAAGAGCTGGGGGCAGCCACGTAGAAGGGAATGCCGTGGTGCTTGGCGACAATGGCCAGCTGGTAGGTGCCCACCTTGTTGGCTGTGTCGCCATTGGCAACCACGCGGTCAGCTCCCACGACCACGGCTGGGGAGGGGGTGCATGACAAGTTGGGGGTCATTACCTGGCCCCATGCCCCAGAGCCCTACCCTCAGTGCTTACCCCCCGTAGGGCTTACTGCTGCTTACCTGACACACCCTTATGGGCCATGGTGGCAGCTACCATGCTGTCGGCAATGAGGGTGGCGGGGATCTGCTCATAGACCAGCTCGAAGGCCGTCAGTCGGGCTCCCTGGTTGTAGGGCCGGGTCTCAGTGCAGAAGACGTGCTCCAGGCGGCCCAGGCTGTGCAGTGATCGGATCACACCTGCAGGGGACCCGCCCACCAGGAGAAGGCCCCCGGGAGGGGCAAACAGACGGGGTGGTCCACTGGTTAAGGGTGCAGGCTCCGAAGGTGGGCATAGATGGACAAAGGCTTCCCGAGCACAGTCCCACCCCGAGGCCCTCGCAGTGTCAGTTCCCTGTCTGCTACACTCTTCCCAACGCTCACATAGTTCCTTGTTTCACATCTGTTTAAAGGACACCTTCTTGGTGAAGCCTTCCCTGATCTCTCAGTTTTGCATAGCAGCCCCCGCACTATGATCTGTCCTTTGCGTTGATCACCTTCTAACACCTCACGTGTACAGCCAGCCCCCATTTTCTGTGGGTTCTCCATCCAGGGACTCAACCACGTGGGTTGAAAATCTTTGAAAAGAATCACTGGAACCCGAGAAGCAGAGACTGCAGTGAGCCGAGATGGTGCCATGGCACTCCAGCCTGGATGACAGAGCAAGACTCTGTCTCCAAAATAAATAAATGAATAAATAAATAGCCATCCTCCCATCTCAGCCTTCTGAAGAGCTGGGACCACAGGTGCATACCACCACACCCAGCTAGTTTTAGTATTTTTTGTAGAGACAGGGTTTTGCCATAGTACCCAGGTTTCAAACCTCTGAGCTCAAGCCATCTGCCCACCTTGGCCTCCCAAAGTGCTGGGATTATGGGCTTAAAAATAGAGATGGGGTCTTGCTGTGTTGCCAAGGCTGGTCTAGAAGTTGTGAGTACAAGCAGTCCTCCCACCCAGCATCCTGATTACAGGCCTGCACTGCACTGCACCTAGACAATAACTACCGTTCAGTTAGTATTTACATTGTACTCGCTGCCATATGCAATCTAGAGATGATTTAAAATATGGGGGTGGGCCGGGGGCGGTGGCTCACACCTGTAATCCCAGCACTTTGGGAGGCTGAGGCTGGAGGATCACCTTAGGTCAGAAGTTCGAGACCACTCTGACCAACATGGTGAAAACCCATTTCTACTAAAAATATAAGAATCAGCTAGTCGTAGTGGCTCATGCCTGTAATCCTAGCCACTTAGGAGGCTGAGGCACGAGAATCTCTTGAACCCGGGAGGCGGAGGCTATAGTGAGGTGAGATTGTGCCACTGCACTCTAGCTTGGGCGACAGAGCAAGACTCTTTAAAAAAAAAAAAAAAAAAAAAAAAAATATATATATATATATATATATGGGTGGATGTGCATAGGTTATGCAAATGTGATGGCATTTTGTATATCACGGACCTGAGCACCTGTGGATTTCGGTATCTGTGGGAGGTCCTGGAACAAGTCCTCCATGGACACTGAAGAATGACTGTATTTATCTTGCCTGCTGACTGTCCCTTCTACTTCCCTGGGACCCCTGAGAGCAGAGGTTTTGTCTGTTTCGTTCACTGCTGCATCCCCAGCAAATGGAAGTGTGTGGACTGCTGCAGGTGCTTACTAAATGCTGGCTGAGTGAAAGAATCAAAGGCAGAGGTCTTGCCATCAGGGATGAAGGTGGGACTCAGGCACGCAGGGAACTTTCCTGGGGAATTCGGGTCAAGTGGAATCTGCTGCCTTGACCCCCTAGAGCCCATTCACCCTCTCCTGGTGGCAGCTACCTGATCTTTCTCTGGTCACTCCCTTCTCCCCAGTTCGTCTTGGAGTCCACATCCTGGCCTGGCACCAGGCATATGGCTCAGACAGGGCCCACTGAATGGCTGAGCTGGGATGGGCAGGTGGTCCTAGTGCCCAGTGGACCCCCTGAGATACAAGGAGACTTCTCTAGTACAGGAGGCTCTTTTCCTCACGATTTGAGCCCTAATAGCTCCCTGCCAGCCCATGGAGCCCGGAGGTGAAGGAGGGCAGAGCAAAAGAACACAGATAGATAGATCCTGATGCTACTGGTGGAACCCCTTGATCTAGCCATACCTGAAGCCAACAGTATGTTTTTCTGTACACTAATACCTTCACACTTTTTTGCTGGGTAATATGGTTTGGGTTTGGGGTTCTTTCTCTCGTATCCAAAAAAGGTCCTAGAAGGCCCTTCCCTACCCCCTGAGGAGGCCCGCTCACCTAGGGCTGTGCCGTAGCCAGCAGTGGCCAGAGCACCGGTGTTACAGTGGGTCAGTACAGTCACCTTGCCACCGTTGGGGGCCACCTGGTCCAGGAGGAACAAGGCTCCAAAGTCCCCGATGCTCTCGTTGTCTCTGAGGTCTTTCTCCAGCATGTCCTCAGCGCAACGGATCACTCTGGGAGGGACAAGGGGTTTTCAGTACCAGCCACCAGGCCCTGGGACCCAGGCGACCCCCTCCTCTCTGCCCAGTGCTGCTATCTTGGAGCCCTCCTGCTCAAAGCCTCTCATTGCTGTGGGGCCTGGACCCTTCCGCCATGGCCGCCAAAGTGTCACTCATTCATTCACCCAAACACATGTTTACTGAGCACTTCCAGTGTGACCCAGCAGTAAACAAGACAGAAATCTCTGCCCCGGTGGAGTTGATGCTGAGGTGATGAATAGATAATAAAATGAAGGAAAAGACGTGGAATCAGGCAATAGAGAGCAGCGGGTGAGCAGTATCATATCCAATGGTGGAGGGTGACAGTGCTGTGGATGCCTGGCCTGCACCAGTGGCACGTGCAAAGGCCGTAAGGCAGGGTCGAGCTTGGTGGGGTACAGTGACATTGCTAGGAAGGGCTGGAGCAAAAGGGAAGTGGGGGGAAAAAAGAGGGCAGGAAGGGGACAAGGACAGGAAACAAAATTCCTCAAAAGCAAAAACCCAGCTGGGCACGGTGGCCCACGCCTGTAATCCCAGCACTTTGGGAGGCCTAGGCAGGCGGATCACGAGGTCAGGAGTTCGAGACCAGCCTGGTCAACATAGTGAAACCCCATCTCGACTACAATACAAAAATTAGCTAGGCCTGGTGGCACGGGCCTGTAATCCCAGCTACTCAGGAGGCTGAGGCAGGAGACTGGCTTGAACCCGGGAGGCGGAGGTTGCAGTGAGCCGAGATGGCACCACTGCACTCCAGCCTGGGAGACAGAGTGAGACTCCATCTAAAAACAAAAAAAGAAAAAAAAAAAGAGAACAAAGTGACACCAAAAAGGGCCTCCAAGGTGGACAAGGAGCCGGGTGTATTCAGGGGAGGCACGATTAAGGAGTTGGGTTTTGGGGCCAGGCTGCCCAGGCTAGACTCCTGGCCCCATCTGTGGGGCCCTGGACAAGGTCGCCGCTGTGCCTCAGTCTCCCCATCTGTATAATGGGTCAGTATACTTAAAAAGAGTCAATATAATTCCTGTTCAGAGCAGTGCCTGGTACCAGATCCTTGTACCTCTCCCGGACTGCCTCCTCCGTAGCGCCCTCCCGCTCGGCCTCCCGGGCTGCAGCATCAGCCATGTCGCGGGCGGCGCGGGCCATGTTGACAGCGGTGGGCCGGGCGGTGACGAGGAAGCTCAGCTTGTCGCGTACGAAGGCCACCAGCGCGGCGAGTCCTGGTCCCCCGGCGCCCGTCTGCAGCTCCACGGCGAGGCTGAGGCAGCCCACTAGGGCGATGGCTGGGGCGCCCCGCACCTGTGGGGGAGGGATCGGGCGTCGGAGGGGGCAGGCGCGGGCGCACCCTCACTTCCAGCCCTGCCGCCCCGCTGCCCCGTTGCACCTTCATGGCACGGATGGCCTCCCAGGCTTGGCGCACCGAGCCCACCGCCTCGTAGTGTGTTTGCTGGGGCAGCAGCAGCTGGTTCAGGATCTGCAGGGAGCCCCGCGAGTAGCGGATCGCCTTGAGGGTCATGGTGCAGTTGCCAAACCCAGCGCAGCTCCGGGGGCACAGGAGTCTGCGCGCACGTGAGGAGCGGGCAGGGCCGTGGGCGGAGCCTCCCCCGGAAGAGACGCATGCGCATGCGCATCCAAGCTGACCCCACGGTTTCCCAGGAGGCACCGCCCAAGGGACCGAGCCCACTCCAGGTCTCTTGCCAAGCTCGGAAGCAGTGAGCCGCTTCCTCGGAACCACAAAAGTGGCACTATTGATGGGGCGCCCGCTGGGTACCAGGCCCTGTTTAGCAGCCTGCTATCTAGAGTTAGGGGTGTCTTCCCGGTGGCAAGGTAACATCAAGTGTTCAAACGATAGAATTTGTTAAATGATCTTCCTTCTCCAAGGTTCAGAGGGAGGTAGTGGGGGGTCGTGCATCCCTTGAAGAATGCATGGCTGTTTCTGGGCCACTTTGTGCTCGGTTTCATTCAAAAGTTAACATGCAGGCCAGGCGCTGTTGCTCACGCCTGGAATCCCAGCACTTTGGGAGGCTGAGGTGGGTGGATCACTTGAGGTCAGGTGTTCGAGACCAGCCTGGCCAACATGGTGAAACCCCGTCTCTACTAAAAATATAAAAAATTAGCCGGGCTTGGTGGCAAGTGCCTGGGAGTCCCAGCTACTCGGGAGGCTGAGGCAGAAGAATCACTTGAACCTAGCAGGTGGAAGTTGCAGTGAGCCCAGATCACACGACTGCACTCCAGCCTGGGCGACACAGTGAGACTCATTCTTAAAAACAAAACGAAAAGAAAACCCTAAAAGTAACATGCACAGAAGGCTTTTCCATGGGCTGGGATAATAAACAGCCCGTGTGTTCCTGCCCCTGCTGCATGTGGCACAGATCTTGGGTACCCTGTATGCTCCTCCCTGGCCTTGTGTGTGTGGTTTCTGCTGCCCGGCCTCCTTTTCACCCTTCACACATGGCCCATGCTGCCTCCTCCAGGAAGTCTGCCCTGATTCCTGGCCAACCTGAACCACCACCTTGAGACTCTTGTCACTCTGGGTGGGGACCACATCCGTGGTCATAGCTATGACCCTATACCAGCATTTGCTGATGAGAGGCCTGCCAAGGTTGGTCAAGTGGAGGGGCTGGGGGGCAGCCGCAGGGCCTGTCTAATAACCCAGGACAGGGAAAAAGAAACAGGGTTTTAATGTACGAAGTCCGACAAGGCACAAACATCCTCACCAGGACCAAAATAAATAACAACTCCATGGTTGCAGGAAGGCGAGGTCTGGGGAGGGGGCCGCGTCTGAGCTCTCCCCGGGCTGGTGGGCAAGCAGAGGGTCTACAGTCTGTGAGGGGCCTCCTGGGTGTGTCGCGGCCTCTGGAGCAGGTCCAGTCCCCAGGTTGGGGATGGCTCAGTCACTCTCTGAGTCGGAGTAGTCCGCCACGAGGGAGGAGCTGAGGCTGCAGGGGTGCCGCGAGTCTGGGGCGTCAGCTACTTCTTGGGAGGAGCCTGCTGGGGAAAGGGACTTGTCCTGACGACTCCCTTCCTGCCCCTTCAGCCCGCTGCACTTAGGGGTCTCAGCTGTTTCCTGAGGACAGTCTCCGGGGGACACAGGCTTGTCCTGGGCAGTCTCCTCTGGTACCCGCGGTTCTCCACACTTGGGGGTGTTGGCCGCATGCTGTGGGCTCTCTGGGACGTCCCGAGGCCGCCGCCGCACGATGCCCAGGTCCCCCACGGTGATGGGGGAGGTGGCAAGCGCAGTTCTGCGGCTCTGTGCCAGCTTCTTCAGGACGGCGCTGACCTTGCTGCTGGAGCCGGATCCGGGGGTGGAGGGGAACCAGGAGCGGCTGATGATCTCGGTCCGCTTGAGCTTCTGCTTGTCCTCGTAGGCTGGAGGAAAAGAGAGGGCATTTCAGGGGCGGGAGGGGAGGAAGTCCAGAACTGCCCTCTGCTAGACCAGAGTCCACTCATGGCTGAGGAACTCCCCTATCTCCAGGCAACTGTGAGCCTCCCTGCCCACTTTCTCCCAGGCACCCCACGCACAGTCCAGGGTGTGGAACTTCAGCAGGGCCGCCAGCCTGCGGTCATCCTCCGTCTCCGGGACCAGCGGGATGGTCAGGCTCGCCTTGGTCTGCAGGGCCTGGTCTCTCTCTTCCTCTTCCTGAATGGCTTTTTTCTTTTCCTGTGTCGGGGCCAAGAACACCAGAGACAGCAGGTGTGTTAGAGCCAGCTCCTCTGTGGGCTAGCGGGCACTGCTCCAGCTCTTCTCAGTGTCTCCATTTACTTCTCTTTCTTTTTTTTTTTTTGAGACAGTATTGCTCTGTTGCCCAGGCTGGAGTGCAGTAGCATGATCTCAGTTCACTGCAACCTCCGTCTCCCCGGTTCAAATGATTCTCCTGCCTCAGCCTCCCGAGTAGCTGGGATTACAGGTGTGCACCACCATACTTGGCTAATTTTTGTATTTTTAGTACAGACCGGGTTTCACCATGTTGGTCAGGCTGGTCTGGAACTCCTGACCTCATGATCCACCCGCCTCAGCCTCCCAAAGTGCTGGGATTACAGGCGTGACCACCGCGCCCATCCTTCAATTTACTTTTCTTTTTTGAGACAGGGTCTCATTCTGTCACCCAGGCTGGAGTGCAGTGGCACAATCATGGCTCACTGCAGCTCCACCTTCTGGGCTCACGTGATTCTCCCATCTCAGCCTCCCGGGTTTCCAGTACTACAGGTGTGCACCACCACGCCCAGCTAATTAAAACATTTATTTTTGTAGAGGCTGGGCATGGTGGCTCACACTTGTAATCCCAGCACTTGGGGAGGCCGAGGTGGGTGGATCCCTTGAGGCTAGGAGTTTGAGACCAGCCTGGCCATTATGGCAAAACCCTGCCTCTATTAAAAATACAAAAATTATCTGGGCATGGAGGCATGCGCCTGTGGTCCCTGCTAATCAGGAGGCTGAGGCAGAATTGATTCAATCCGGGAGACGGAGGTTGCAGTGGGCCAAGATCGCGGCACTGCACTTAAGCCTGGGCGAAAGAGGGAAACTGTCTCAAAAAAAAAAAAAAAAAAAAGTTTTTTGGCTGGGCAAGGTGGCTCACACCTGTAATCTGAGCACTCTGGGAGGCTGAGGTGGGCAGATCACGAGGTCAAGAGATCGAGACCATCCTGGCCAACATGGTGAAAACCCTGTCTCTACTAAAAATACAAGAATTAGCTGGGCCTGGTGGCACTCGCCTGTAGTCCCAGCCACTTGGGAGGCTGAGGCAGGAGAATTGCTTGAACCGGGGAGGCGGAGGTTGCAGTGAGCCGAGGTCTCGCCACTGCATTCCAGCCTGGCGCCTGGCAATGGAGCAAGGCTCTGTCTCAAAACTAAATAAATAAATAAAATTTTAAAAATGTTTTTTTTGTAGAGATGGGGTCTCACCATGTTGCCCAGGCTGGCCTCCAAAGCATGGCCTCAAACAGTCCTCCCACCTGAGCCTCCCAAAGCACTGGGATTACAGGTGTGCACCACCACACGTGGCCTCATTCCACAGATACTTCTGGGACACCCACCTTGTGCTAGGCTTTGTTCTAGACACTGGGGACACAGCAACAGGTAGAGAATAACCCTTGTCTGGGTGGAGCTGACCATCTACTGGTGAGACAGTGACAAGGAGAAAAAAAATGCAGGACGGTCGGGTAGGGGGTGGGCTGGGAGGTTCCATTTAAAATGTGGTGGCCAGGTCAGGTGTACCAACTCACAACTGTACAAAGTGCGGGGGTTCCCGCACTTTGGGAGGCCGTCCCCCAAATGGTGACGCACATGGTGAAAACCCGTCTCTACTAAAAATACTCTGGAGGATGAGGCAGGAGAATCACTTGAACCAGGAAGCGGAGGTTGCAGTGAGCCAAGATTGTGCCAATGCACTCCAGCCTGGGTGACAGAGTGAGAAACCCACTGTCTCAAAAAAAAAAAAACAAAAAAGTTAAATTTCCATTTTTTTATTTTTAAATTTTGAGATGCGGGGTGGGGGGGGTCTCATTATGTTGCTCAGGCTGGTCTTGAACTCCTGGTGTCAGGTGATCCTCCCAATGTGCTGGATTATAAGCGTGAGTCACTATGCCCAGACAAATTTCTACTATTTATAAATTACCCAGTCTGTGTTTTTTTTTTTTGATTATAGCAGCTAGAATGGATTAAGACAGGGCATGATCACTATGTAGCAAATGGGGAAACTGAGGCTCAGAAGGTACAGTGGTCTGCTCATAGCTAGGATGCAGTGGGGCGAGGGCTGGCCCAGGCCTGAGCCCACGGTGTCTGTCCCCGCTCACCCGGAACCGTCTCCGCAGCATGCTGTTGAGGGCGAAGTCGTCCTTCCAGGCGCTCTGGGCCTCCTGGATGTGGCTCAGCGTGGGCAGCGCCTTCTTGAGCGTGCTCCGGTCAGCCTCGCCGTGCTCCAGCCGGAACATGGCATCCGTCTCCAGCTTCTGCTTCTTCTCGTGTTCTGCAACGACCAGAGCTCGGCTGGGCCTTGGGGACCCGGCGCAGACTCAGGGCCGGGGCCCCCAGGCAGGTAAGTGGGTGGTGCTCACCTGTGGTCAGCACCTGCTCGTTGTCCGCCATGTCCCAGCGCTCCTCCTTGCGCTGGGCGCCACTCACGATCACGTAGTCGCAGTTGGCCGGGTCTGTCTGCATCTCGATGTAGTTGACACAGAGGTGGCATTTCATCCGGAACCTTGGAGGGAGCGGTGGGCAGAAGGCAGGAGGCTGAGGCTGTGCCCCAGGACAGCCCTGTCACCTCTGCCTGCTTCCTTCCACCCAATGGACAAGATTCATTTGACAAGAATTCACTGAGCACCCACTATGTGCTGTGTAGAGCCATGGGTAAAAGGGGCACATCTGGGCACCCAGAATGGACCCTCTATCAGTGGAGCTGCGGTTGACTTATTCATTTGTCCATTCATCTGTTCGTTCGTTCGTTCATTCATTCACTCGTCCGTTTTGTTTTTTGTTTTTGAGATGGAGCTTCACTCTTGTCACCCAGGAGGGCAACAGTGCATCCTCTGCTCACCGAAACCTCTGCCTCTCAGGTTCAAGTGATTTTCCTGCCTCAGCCTCCCGAGTAGCTGGGATTACAGGCACTGCCACCATGCCCAGCTAATTTTTTTGTAGTTTTAATAGAGACAGGGTTTTGCCATGTTGACCAGGCTGGTCTCGAACTCCTGACCTCAGGCGATCCACCTGCCTTGGCCTCCCAAAGTGCTGGGATTACAGGCATGAGCCACAGCATCCATTTTTTTAGTTCATTCAATCATTAGTTTATTTGTTCATTCATTAACGCATTCGTTTGTTGGTTCGCTGATTCATTTGTTAAATTCATTCATACATTCATTTGCTCATCCATCCATCCGTTAATTCATTCATCATTTGTTCATCCATTCATTTGTCCATTAGTTCATTTATTCCACAAACTCGCCCAAGACAGGCTTCCCTGTGGCATGCTCAGTGCCAGCTGCTGGGGACACTGCTGAGTAGTGGAGAAGCCAACCTGCTTGGGGACAGGCTGACGTCCCAGCAGGGGCCACCTTGACAGCAAGGGCACAAGCAACTGGTGTTGAGTCTCACTTTAGAAAAGGCGTCTCTGAGCCAAGCACGATGGCTCATGCCTGTAATCCTAGCACTTTGGGAGGCTGAGGGAATCACCTGAAGTCAGGAGTTCAAGACCAGCCTAGCCAACATGGTGAAACCCCATCTCTACTAATACAAAAAATTAGCCGTGCGTGGTGGCACATGTCTGTAATCCCAGCTGCTCGGGAGGCTGAGGCAGGAGAATCGCTTGAATCTGGAAGGTGGAGGTTGCAGTGAGCCAAGATCACGCCACTGCACTCCAGCCTGGGTGACAAGAGCGAAAACTCTGTCTCAAAAAAAAAAAGTTCACCCATGTAACTACACACACAAAAAAGCCAGAAAAGGTGTCTCTGAGGGGTGGTGGTTGAGCAGAAACCCCAGATGAGGGAGGAGCCTTGGAGCTACCTGGGGAAGAGCATTCCAGGTGGAAGCACAGCAGTGGGTGTGTCCATAGGGTGTGTGTGGGACAGTGGGAGGAGGTTAGGGTGGAGAAAGGATAGGCAGAGTGTGCAGGGCCTTGTGAGCCGGGGAGAGGACTTGGGCTTTTACTGAGGAAGGTGGGAGCCATGGAAGGTTGGAGCTGGGGGCACGCCCTGATTGAGAAGCCAGGGCGGTTTCCAGGAGAGTTCTGCAGGGAATGGCTTCCCTCCCACCCAGGCTCTTTGTAGCCCCCTCGACCTGTGGCCACCCAACCTGCTCCCATGATGCCCCCAAGCCGCCCTTACCTGTAGATGGGGGTTGTGTAGTAATTGCCCACCTTCTTCTTTTCTGCGTTGTAGCGAACACCTGGAAGGGGGTTGGGTGGGGGTGGTTATTTCATTGCCATCTGAATTTTGCAGATGGGTAAACAGAGGCACAAAGAGGCTCACTGTCACTTGCTGAGGTTTCCCCAACTAGGAGGAGTCAGAGATGGGATTGGAAGCCTGAGCCTGGCTTCCACGGCCAGCCAGTCGCTCGTGTGCCCGTCTCCTCCCTCATTCCTGATCAGGACCCTCCCACCCCCCACCCCAGTGGCGCCCAGCAGTTTAGGGGTCTGATGTTTTCGGGAATGAATGGACGGGGCGGGCAGAGGCTCACCCATGCCGATGTGGTTCTTACAGCCATCGCACCAGATGTTATAGGGCATCTCAAATCTGCAACGACAGACAGGATCTTACTTGCACTTGTCCACTTGGACACTCCCTGGGTCTCCACACCTGCGACTCCCGTTGCTGTTGTGATTTGAGGGGTGGGGCATTATACTGCCCCTGCCTCATGGGAGTTGCTACAGTCACATTACACAGGAAATGGACATGAGGAGGAGAAAGAATCACAGCCACTGTAACTGAGTGGGAACCTCCCGCCCTGCTCTACAGCAGACTGACCAGGTCCAGGGACAAACGCCCTTGGGTGCTGCTGTGAGTTGTTTTTTTTTTTTTGGAGACAGAGTCTTCCTCTGTCACCCAGGCTGGAGTGCAATGGCGTGGTCTTGGCTCACTGCAACCTCCGCCTCCTGGGTTCAAGCAATTCTCCTGCCTCAGCCTCCCAAATAGCTGGGATTATAGGTGTGCGTCACGACAGCCAGCTAATTTTTCTATTTTTAGTAGAGACAGGGTTTCTCTGCATTGGCCAGGCTGTTCTCCAACTCAGCCTCAACTTATCCACCAGCCCCGGCCTCCCAGAGTGCTGGAATTACAGGCGTGAGCCATTGTGCTTGGTTGGTGCTGTTTTAACACCTCACCACGTCAGTGAAACCAACTTCTGAACAAAGGAGGAAGCAGTTTTCAGGGCGCTGTCCCCAGGCAGCTGTGTCTGATTAGAGTTTCGAAAAGCTGCTGTGTTATCGCTGTATTTCTTTATCACAGTTGTATGTATGACATGGATCCTGGCTTTCCACTTCACAGCAGTGAGATAGCTTTTCCTTTATTTATTTACTCTTAATTTTTTTTTTTCTTTTTGGCTAGGGTCTCACTCTGTTGACCAGGCTGGAGTGCAGTGGCACAATCATGGCTCCCCGCAGCCTCGACCGTCTGGGCTGAAGTGATCCTCTCCTGTGTTAGCCACCCAAGGTGCTGGGATTACAGGTATGATTATTGGCCTTTTTGTTCTTTTTTTGAGACTGAATCTCACTCTGTTGCCCAGCTGGAGTGCAGTGGCATGATCTCAGCTCACTGCAACCTCTGCCTCCCAGGTTCAAGCGTTTCTCATTCCTCAGCCTTGTCAGTAGCTGGGACTACAGGTGCAAGCCACCACGCCTGGCTAACTTTGGTATATTTAGTAGAGATGGCGTTTCACCTTGTTGGCTAGGCCAGTCTCAAACTCCTGACCTCAGGTGACCCACCCGCCTTGGCCTCCCAAAAGGCTGGGGTTACAGGAGTGAGCCCCTGCGCTCAGCCACGATCACTGTCTTTTCTGAGAGTCCTGTGGGATCAAGTCCAGGCTGGCCTGCTACAGGATGAGATACAACATGGAGCAGAGCCCAGCTGTACAGGTCAAGGCCCCGCTAGACCATCCAGTCCCCAGCCAGCCAGCTCTGAAACACATGGGAACCCAGCCCCGATCAGCCCAGCCTAGTGCAGCCAAGACCTGCCCAGCCCTGCCCAGCCCTTCCAGCCCCAGCAGAGGTATTTTGCTGAGCTGCAGACGTGAGCAATAACAAATGCTTGTTTTCTTACGTGGCAGTAACTGACTCATACAGTGACCCTGTAGCATTGGGCCAATGGGCACCGAATTCTCCTTGAGACTGGAGGAAGGGGGCGGGACAGTGGTGTCCTCAGGTGATACTGGGCCTTACCGGATGATGAGGACGCCCTGTGACAGCTTCCGAGCCCGCTCCCGAAGCGGGTGGCTGTTGTGGTACCGGTTGAGAGAGCCATGCTGTGTGGAGAGGGTGAGGGAGCGGATTAGTGCTGCCGAGCTGGGGGGCTTATGCTTTTCTGCCACCCCCACTGGTTTGGGACAGGTGCCTCACAGGTGGGAGAGGCCTCGTTCTTATGTCCTGCACATTGGTGTTCACAGCAATCCGGGAGGCACCCAAGTCTTACTGGAACACACGTGCTTGGAACCAGGAATGTGAGTTTCAATAGTCCCCCTCCTATTTATTCATTTAGAGATGGAGTCTTGCTGTCACCCAGGCTGGAGTGCAGTGGTACAATCTCGGCTCACTGCAACCTCCACCTCCCAGGTTGAAGTGATTCTCCTGCCTCAGCCTCCCAAGTAGCTGAGACTACAGGTGCTTGCCACCATGCCTGGCTCATTTTTGTACTTTATTAGTAGAGACTGGGTTTCACCATGTTGGCCAGGATTGTCTTGATCTCCTGACCTCGTGATCTGCCTGCCTTGGCTTCCCAAGGTGCTGGGATTACAGACACGAGCCACTGTGCCCAGCCCCATTCCCATTTATGAACTGAAAGAGCCAGGGGACCCTGAGTGAGTGACCTCATGTTTTGCCTTCCTGAGCCTCAGTTTCCCCCGTCTGTCAACTATGTATAATGGTCATCATTACTTCCAGGTTTATGGGGAAGATGAGGTGAGGTGACAAGGCTGGCAAACATTCCCTGGGGACTTCATGTGTATCACCTAATTTTTTTTTTTTTTGTGGCAGAGTCTGGCTCTGTAGCCCAGGCTGGGGTGCAGTGGCATGATTATGGCTCACTGAAGTCTCCACCTCCTGGGTTCAAGCAATCCTCCCACCTCAGCCTCTCGAGTAGTTTAGGATTTATCCCTCAATGATTCTGTGAGGTCAGCTCCTTTTATTTTCCCCTTCTGACATATGCAGAAACTTTGGCATACAAAGGCCAAAGTCGTATACTCAGGACTAGGCAATGGACTCGGGCCCTGACTGAGCACCTACCCTGTGGGGACACAGCCATGAACAGCTCTGTCCTCATGGAGAGAATGTTCTAGTAGGGGAGACGGACAAGACACAAATAAAGGAACAATAAGTGAGGGAGTTCTAAGGGCTGTGAGGTTATATAAAGTGCTCTGCCATGCCACAGAGAACGAGACAGTGGTCAGGGAGGACCTCTGTGAGGAAAGCCCTTAAGGAACTGAGGGTATGGTGAAATGGAGGAAAAGATTCCAGGCAGAGGCGACAACCAGGACGCCAGAGGTGCTGGAGCTGGGGAGCCAGGGGATCCTCATCCATGCGCTTGGCTATATCCTGGGCCCCCGCTGTAAACACACTATGCTCCTTGCTGGACATGGAGTGACAGGTCCCTGAGGAGAGCCCCAGTTACCACCCAGAAGTGAAGACAGCCCGAGCCTCATGTAACGAGCGGAGGACAAAAAGACCTTGTGGGCCGCCCATCCTTCCACAGCAGCAGCTCCAACCCCAAGAGGGGATGACGTGGGCCTTTCTGCTAGTGTGGGGCTGGAGGAGGGAGCTGCTCTTACCTTTTCGGGGTTGAAGTCTGGAGGATAGTACTTGTTGACCCCTTTCCTTTCACCCTGTAAAGCGGAAGAGACATGACTGAGAGACAGGCTGATTTGGTTTGGCTGTGTCCCCACCCAAATCTCATTAAAAACATTTTTTTTGGATTATTTATTTATTTTATTGAGATAGAGTCTTCCTTTGTTGCCCAGGCTGAGTGCAGTGGAATAATCTCGGCTCACTGTGATCTCAGCTCACTGCAACCTCCGCCTCCTGGGTTCAAGCAATTCTCCTGCCTCAGCTTCCCGAGTAGCTGGGATTACAGGTGCCTGCCACCATGGCCAGCTAATTTTATATTTTTAGTAGAGACGGGGGTTTCACCATGTTGGCCATGCTGGTCTTGAACTCCTGACCTCAGGCGATCCACCTGTCTCGGACTCTCAAAGTGCTGGGACTACACGCGTGAACCACCATGCCTGGCTTAGTAATTGTATTTTTTGTAGAGACAGGGTTATGCCATGTTGGCCAGGCTGGTCTCAAAATGCCTAATCTCAAATGATCCGCCTGCCTTGGCCTCCCCAACTGCTGGGATTACAGGCGCGAGCCACTGCGCCTGGCCTCATAATGTTTTATTTTATGTTATATGAATTTTACCTTTTAAAAAAATGAAGGAAAGAAAGAGAAAGAAGGGGAGGGGGAAGGGGAAATTTAGGCTGAGCGTAGTGGATTCCTTGAGGACAGGAGTTTGAGACCAGCCTTGCTAACATGGTGAAACTCGGTCTCTACTAAAAATATAAAAATTAGTGGGAGGTGCTTGCTTGAACTCAGGAGGTGGAGGTTGCAGTGAGCCAAGATCGTGCCATTGCACTCCAGCCTGGGTGACAAAGTGAGACTGTCTTAGAAAAAAAAAAAAAAACACCAAAGGAAACATTTAAAAAGCACCCCTGGGTGATGTTAGTGCACAGCAACGTTTCAGACCCACTGCATCAAGAGGGTGACCCCGACATAGGAAGCATCATCTTAGAGCTGTGGGAGGGGAGGAGGGGCTGCTTCCAGGGTCCAACACAGACTGGGAGAGGAGCCCAGGGCACACGAGGCTGTCTACTCACCATCCTGGCAGTTGCCTACTGGTCCTCACCCTCAGGGCAGACGATCAGAAACTGGCCTTGTGAGCACACTGCCCTGTCCTGGCCTCCTGGTCCACTGTCTTCCCTGCGAAGATGTCGTGGGCCGTGTGGTGGAGCCGGCTCACACAAGACTCCTGCCAGGCGTTGCAGACATCCAAAAAGCGGCGTGTGTCTGTTCAGAAAGAGGAGTTCTGCCTACTCAACAGCCAGTGTACCCATCACATCTGACACTTTCATCTCTCTGTGGCCCCGACCAGTCCAGCACCCATCATCACTCACGTGGGCCAGCGCTGTCTTCTCGTTTCCTGCCCTGCCCCCGATGCTTGCTCACCCTACAGCAGCCCAGGGGATCTTTTAAAATATGGACAGCCAGGCGCAGTGGCTCACGCCTGTAATCCCAGTACTTTGGGAGGCTGAGGCGGGCAGATCATGAGGTTAAGAGATCGAGACCATCCTGGCCAAAATGGTGAAACCCGTCTCTACTAAAAATACAAAATTAGCTGGGCCCGGTGGCGCGTGCCTGTAGTCCCAGCTACTTGGAAGGCTGAAGCAGGAGAATCGCTTGAACCCAGGAGGCAGAGGTTCAAGTGAACCAATACGGTGCCACTGCATCCCAGCCTGGGCTACAAAGTGAGACTCCATCTCAAAACACACATACACACACAGACACACAGACTCATCTGACCACTCAATCCATAGTCACTAGTTTCCTGGAGTTGTTTTTTTTTTTTTGACAGGGAGTTTCATTCTGTTGTAGGCTGGAGTGCAGTCGCGTGATCTTGGCTAACTGCAATCTTCACCTCCTAGGTTCAGGTGATTCTCCTCGTTCAGCCGCCTGAGTAGCTGGGATTATGGGTGCCTGCCACCATGCCCAGCTAACTTTTGTATTTGTAGTAGAGACAGTGTTTCACCATGTTGCTCAGGCTGGTCTTGATCTCCTGACCTCATGATCCGCCTGCCTCATCCTCCCAAAGTGCTGGGATTCCAGGCATGAGCCACTGCGCCCGGCCTGTTTCCTGGCGTTCTGGTCACATCCCCTGTGTCTGTTCATGTCTCCCGGCCAGGTTATACTGTACCATACCCCAACACCTGGACAGTGCCAGGCCCAGATAAACGTCAATGGGGTGAGCGACTGAGAGAACTGATCGAGGCTCCGTAAGGGCCACAGTCAGTGCAAGTGACACAGCTAACAAATGTGGGGGCTCCTCAAGCTAGGGGTGGTCAGATGCCCTCCCATGTTTTGGAAGGGAGCCTTTTAGGTCAAATAGAAGGAAGTTCAAGTTTACACTACAGAGAGATGCTGTGAGGCAGTGAAGCGTATTCTAGAACAAAGATTGGCCAAGTTTCTCTGTCAAGGGGGGAGACAGTAAATATTTCTGGCTTTTTAGGACAGATGATCTCTGCTCCAACAACTCAACTCTGCCCTTGTAGCTAGAAAGCAGCCCCAAACAACATATAAAGGAACGTATGTAGCTGCATGCCAATATAAATTTTGTTGACACAAATTTGAACTTCACATACTCGTCACCTGTCCCAAAGCATCCTTCTTTTGATTTTTTTCCCCAATGACTAGAAAATGTAAAACCATTCTTAGGGACTGGGCACAGTGGCTCACGCCTGTAATCCCTGCACTTTGGGAAGCAGAGGTAGGTGGATCAATTGAGGTTGGGAGTTCAAGACCAGCCTGGCTAACATGATGAAACCCCATCTGTACTAAAAATACAAAACTTGGCTGGGCATGGTAGCACACACCTGTAATCCCAGATATTCAGGAGGCTGAGGCAGAATTGCTTGAACCTGGGAGGCAGAAATTGCAGTGGGCTGAGATCATGCCACTGTACTCCAGCTTAGGTGAACAGAGCAAGACTCCGTCTCAAGAAAAAAAAAAAAGAAGAGAAAAGAAGCAAATGAATGAGGTTCTGATGGAGTGGGGGCTATGTGATGAGGCGGGGAGGCAGTGGTGCCAAGTCCTGGATATAAACTGTTCTGCTCGCATCTTAGTCTTGGATACTCCACTATAAAGTACGGCCCTTAGCTTAGATTATTCCAAGGTCTGTTCGAACCTAAAAATACTTTTGCCAACAAAATAGGTAAGTGCCCCTTGAGGCGTTAGGGGTCACGGCACCCTGGGCTTGAATCCCAGCTCCACTCAGCTGGGTGACCTTGGTCAGTGTCTGTACTTCCCCGGGCTTGTTGTATTTCGTCCCTGGTAAAGGGCGAATGATGACGACAAGACTGACTTTCTGGGGTTGCTGTGAATCAAGTAACACACGGGAAGAGCCTGCAAAGAGCAAAAATATTCCTTTTACGGGAGCGTGAGGGTGTGCATGTCTTAAGATGGTTTTACTGCCCCAGTAAATGACAGACTGGGCTATGGGGGGCGGGGCGTGTAGGTATCTCCGGTCCTTCGTGCAAAAGTAATTACCGACCCTGTTTGTCCTGGGCTTACAGCTCGGGTTCGGAGTGCCACCGTGCTGCTGCCCATCTGCTTGACTTGGGGCAAACTGTTTCTCTAAGCCTCGCTTTCCTTATGTGTAAAATGGTTGGTTAAGGCATTTAGAGCAGCGCCTGACACCGAGTTAAATGTTGGCAGTTTAGTAATTTCTCCTGCTCACGGTTTTACAAGGATCATTTAAAAAAAAATTGGTGAGGTGGGGACTTATTGGTCCCATTTTCCGGATGCGGAAACCAAGGGGCCCTTCAGGCATAATATGGATGCGGGCTAGGATGGGGCCGGGAACCGGGCACTTGGGTCGGGGGTCTCAGCTGGGGCCTCAGGGACTTTGGTCGTGGCTGGGACCTGGGCCTGCTCCGGGCATCCAACTCGGGTCCTCAGCTCCGCGTCCCGCAACGCGGACGGGCGAGCCAGGCGGCTCCGAGGCCAGGGTGAGGCGGCGGCCGGACCCCGGCCTTCCCCGATCCTCCGCACTTACCTGCCCTCCTCCCGACGTCACGGCCCGACCGTGCCCGGAAGTGAGCGCTGGGAGCTCTGTGAAACTGGGCGCCCTCTCCACACCACCCAGACGCCGGCGCGAGGCGGGGCGAGACAACAGCGCCGCGCTGATTGGCTGAATACCGATATGCCGCGCGCTCTGTGACGCCGGGTAGGCCAATCCGGGCATTCCCCGCCCAACTGCGCTTACGTCAAGATGGCGTATCTGTCCCGCCCAGTACGTGGGGCCCAATCCGAGGCCCACCTCCTGGCACCGCCCTCCCGAGAGTGCTCTCCTGTGCGCGGCAGTGGGTCAGCGTGGGTGAGCAAACTATAGCCCGCGGCGCGAAGCGCACTAGGCCGTGTTTTCGGACGGCTAGTGAGCTAAGAATTGTTTGTCCAATTTATTTTTATTTTCTATTTTTGAGACAGGGTCTGTCTTTGTCGCCCAGGCTGGAGTGCAGTGGCGCAGTCATAGCTCACTGCAGCCTCGAACTCCTGGGTTCAAGCGATCCTCCTACCTCAGTCTCCCAAATAGTTGGGACGACAAGCGCGCGCCACCGTACCCGGCTAATTTTTAAAATCATTTGCTGCCGGACACGGTGGCTCACGCCTGTAATCCTAGCACTTTGGGAGGCAGAGGCAGGCAGATCACGAGGTCAGGAGTTCAAGACCAGCCTGGCCAGCATGGTGGAACCCCGTCTTTACTAAAAAAATACGAAAATTAGCTGGGTGTGGTGGCGGGCGCCTATAATCCTAGCTACTTGGGAGTCTGAGGCCGGAGAATCGCTTGAACCCGGAAGGCAGAGGTTGCAGTGAGCCCAGATTGCGCCACTGTTATCCAGCGTGGGCAACAAGAGCGAGACTCCATTTCAAAAAAAAAAATTATTTGCACAGGCAAGGTTTTACTATGTTGCCACAGCTAGTCTCGAACTCCTGGACTCAAGCAATCCGCTGGCTCCCAAAGTGCTGGGATTATAGGCATGAACCACTGCTCTGTTTTTGCATTTTAAAATGGTTAGGTGGGGGAAAAGATATTTTGTGACTCGTGAAAATTAAAAAATCCAGTTTCAGCGTCCATAAATAAAGTTTTATTGGAATACAGTGATATGCATTTTGATCTGCTGATTGCTTCAAAATAAGGGCACTTGGGGGGAACAGCAAATGCAGGGAAGGAGGGGTTTTCTCTGAACTGAATTGATCTTATCTGCCTGAACACAGAAAGAAAGATGAATCCTTTCTCACGGTTTTATTAACTAGGGAACAGTGAAACCACGCCCAGTCATCTGTTCTGAGGGCTGCTCTGAGACAACTTTGTTTTTTTTTGAGACAGAGTTTTGCTCGTGTTGCCCAGGCTGGAGTGCAATCGCGCCATCTCAGCTCACCACAACATCCACCTCCTGGGTTCAAGCGATCCTGCCTCACTGTAGCCTCCACCTCCCGGGTTCAAGCGATTCTCCTGCTTCAGCCTTCTGAGTAGCTGGGATTACAGGCATGTGCCACCACGCTGGCTAATTTTGTATTTTTAGTAGAGACAGGGTTTCTCCATGTCGGTCAGGCTGGTCTCAAACTCCCAACCTCAGGTGATCCGCCAGCCTTGGCCTCCCAAAGTGCTGGGATTACAGGCTTGAGCCACCGTGTCTGGCCTGAGACAATTTTTATTACCTGCAAGACTTTATTTGCTTAACAAGACAGACTTTCTTCATCATACAATTTGTCCCCTCACACTCCCATAACTTGTGTTGCCACCACCCTCCCAGAAGCCCCAAACCCCTATTCTTTTCTCTGATCCTCTTTTTCCTTTTTTGAAAGGGAATCTCCCTCTGTTGCCCAGGCTGGAATGCAATGGCATGATCTTAGCTCACTGCAACCCCCACCTCTGAGGTTCAAGTGATTCTCCTGCCTCAGCCTCCCGAGTAGCTGGGATTACAGGCGCCCGCCACCATGCCTGGCTAGTTTTTGTAGAGGTGGGGTTTCATTATGTTGGCCAGGCTGGTCTTGAACTCCTAACCTCAAGTAATCCACCTGCCTTGGCCTCCCAAAGTGCTGGGATTACGGGCTTGAGCGGCTGTGCCCAGCCGCTCTGATCCTTTTCGGAGTCTCGTATTTTATGGGACTCTCCTGCATAGGTACATAATTAAATATGGCTTTTGTTATGTTTACATGTCAGTTTAATTCGTAGACCAGCCAAAGATCCTATAAAGGTGAAGGGAAGCCATTTTTCACCTGCCTACAACAGCAGGGCCCATTCATTTATCTGTTTCATTTACGTACTGTCTATGGCTGCAACAGGGCTGAATTGAATGGTTGCAGCAGAGTAAGAGAGAGCCCAAAGAGTCTGAAATATTTACCGTCTGGCCTTTTTCAGAAGTGGGTGGATAACTTCTCTTGGGGCCTCCAAAGTAGCCTGGCCCTGCCTTCTGCACAGGTGAATGGCTTTTGAATTTACTTTTTTTCTTTTTTTTTTTTTTTGAGACGGAGTCTCACTCTGTTGCCCAGGCTGGAGTGCAGTGGCGTGGTCTTGGCTCTCTGCACCCTCTGCCTCCTGCGTTCAAGCATTTCTCCTGCCTCAGCCTCCCAAATAGCTGGGATTACAGACAGCCACCACCACACCTGGCTAATTTTTTTTTCCCTCAGGACAGAGTCTCACTGTGTCACCAGGCTGGAGTGTAGTGGTACAATCTCAGCTCACTGCAACCTCTGCCTCCCGGGCTCAAGTGATTCTTCTACCTCAGCCTCCTGAGTAGCTGGACTACAGGTACATGCCACCATGCCCAGCTAATTTTTGTATTTTTAATAGAGATGGGGTTTCACCATGTTGGCCAGGATGGTCTTGATCTCTGGACCTCGTGATCTGCCTGCCTTAGCCTCCCAAAGTGTTGGGATTACAGGCGTGAGCCACCGCACTTGGCCTATATTTTTAGTAGAGATGGGGTTTCACCATGTTGGCCAGCTGGTCTCAAACTCCTAACCTCAGGTGATCTGCCCTCCTTGGCCTTCCAAACTGCTGGGATTACAAGCGTGAGCCACCGTGCCCATACTGAATTTACTTTTATGCCCTGTAGAGCCTAACAGAATCTGTGTTCATTCAACAGCTGTTCATTAGGCACCTGCTATATGTCAGGTCTGGGGGATTCAGAGAAGAAAGAACACCTTCTCTCAGCAATGAAGGAGACACTTCAATTGGCAATGTCTCAAAAGCAGGGTCAGAAGTGATCACGATATTGCTACTGTTACTCCTGCTATATTATTCAGTACCAAGCTCCACCTCTGCTCCAAAGCCGGCTCTACTGACAAGTGAATTCTCATAGAACCATGGTGCTGCATGTTGAGTGCTCTCTGTTCACTAGGCACCACTGAGCAATACTCGGTACTCACCTACATGCATAACCCCAGAGAATGCCCCTAGAACGTGGATACTTTTCATCATTTCTGTTTTACAGATGATGAGACACGCCCAGAGAGGTTTGAGTAACTGGCTCAAGGTGACATGGTTAGTGAGAGGTGGAGGAGCTGACCTACGACTGCTCATGCTATACCTTGTTCCCTTATCCTCTGAGCTATACTGTTTTGGGTTGAATGCCTTCAACTTAAAGACCATGAGACCGCAGAGGAATCTTTAACAAGTACAAGGGTATGGTGTTTGGGAGTGGGCCAGAGTGAGACCCTGAGACAGAGTAGGGATCCCCTTTTTTTAGGTGACCCCAAGCATGGAAATAAAGGAAATTCCTGAGTTCCTTCAGCGGAAATTCCAGGCACCTAGCTAGGCCTGAGAAGTAAATAAGTAACTTGTTCAACAACAAAGTTGTAATGACCTAAAACAAAAGCTAAGGAAGTTACAGTCCCAGAGATGTTTGTTTTTTTTATAGAAATGAAAGATACCATCTTAACACATGTCCCTGAATTGTCTTTCAGGGGCTTGGAACCCCACTGAATAAAGCCAATGGCACATAGAGCCCAGATAAGGGGGAAGTGAAGACTAAACTTTAGCTGTCTCCTTTTTGTTCCCCGTTTCCTCCTGAGTGGCTTGGAGAAACTTCCCCTAACTAGCTGACATTTTCCTACTGACCCCAAATTGTTAAACAAAGCTGCTCTTCCTTAACCCACTGCAAAGCAGAAATCGTTTTCTGTTTTTATCTTCCGAGACTGAGTCTCGCTCTATCGCCTAGGCTGGAGTGCCTCAGACTCCTGAGTAGCTAAGCTCACAGGTGCGCACCACCACACCTTGGCTAATTTTTGTATTTTTAGTAGAGATGCGGTTTCAGCATGTTGGCCAGGCTGGCCCTGAACTCCTGACCTCAGGTGATCCTCCTGCCTCGGACTCTCAAAGTGTTCAGATTACAGGCATGAGCCACAACAGCTAGCCTAGAAGATGTTTAAATCTATCTATGACCTGTAAGCCCCCACTTTAAGATATTCTGCCTTTTTTTTTTTTTTTTAGACACAGTTTTGCTCTTGTCACCCAGGCTGGAGGGCAGTGACACGATCTCGACTCACCGCAACCTCTGCCTCCCAGGTTCAAGCAGTTCTTCTGCCTCAGCCTCCCTAGTAGCTGAGATTACAGGCACCCACTACCACACCCAGCTACTTTTTGTATTTTTAGTAGAGATGGGGTTTTACCATGCTGGCCAGGCTGTGCTCGAAGTCCTGACCTCAGGTGATCTGCCCGCCTCAGCCTCCCAAAGTGCTGGGATTACAGGCGTGAGCCGCTGCACCCAGTGAGCATCCACCTGCTTTTCTATGTACTCCACTGTGGATGGACTGGGATAATGGGCCAGAAGATTCTATGACTACATGGGAAGAACAGGAACTTGAAGAATTGGGATCCTGCTCCTTGAAGATGGTCTGATCAGTATAATCCAAACCGAAGACACTAGAACAAAAGCTGAAGAGTGCAGGGAAGTGGCCAGGCGCAGTGGCTCATGCCGTAATCCCAGTATGAGCCCAGGAGCTCAAGACCAGTGTGTGCAACATAGCGAGATGCTCTCTCTTTTTTTTTTCTACAAAGAACACAGGTAGATAGTGAGATGCTCTCTCTACAATAAAAAAGTTTAAAAACTAGGCTGGGTGTTGTGTCATGTGCCTGTAGTCACAGATACAGTGGAGACTGAGGCAGGAAGATCACTTGAGCCCTGGA